TCTCTTTATAGGGCTCTGGTTCAATTCTCATTGAGCTGCGGGACTCCACACTTTGACCCCCTGGTGGTCCTGAGCCGGCTGTAAACAGCCGCAGGTCTTGTATGTGCGTGTCTTGGGGAGTAAATAGATGCGCCCCCTACAGGCGGCCTCCCTTCACTCCTCCTCCTCCTCCTCCTTCTATACTCTCCTCTCTGACTCCACGGCTCCTCATTCACTGGAAGATGGCGGACTGCGCTCCACTATTAGATGAGGAACTCTCGTCTTTCGTCTTCAGTTACCTGACAGAGAACTCCTGCAGCCAGGTAAGAGCCGGCCCGCAGAGCACGCGCTGGACTCCAGCCTTTGCGCACGGGGCCGGGCCGCTGCACGTCGCGGCTGGACGCGCGCGCTCTGCCCGCTTCACGCGAGCCTTTCTCGGCTTCTCAGCAGCATCTCGCCGGCACCGCTCGAACAGGCTGTCTTGGGTCTGCACGCATGTGTGTGCGTGCGTGCGTGTGCGTGGCGAGGGGTTGATCCACTATGACTTGATGTCTGGCTTTCACGTGTCTTTTAAGGAAATGTCATCAGCCACGGGATGAATGAGTTTTAAGGCTGAAAACGCAGAAATGTGTCGGGGCTGCGAGCGCCGCAGCACGCGCACGATCATTTGGTATTCCGAGGGGCGCTGTGGAAACTTTACACGCATTCTTCAGGGAAGTTTTAATTTCAGGGACTCGAGCACGTGGTGCGCCTGTTCACGCGTGAGGGTTCTTCTGACATCCTGAAACTGAAGCAGGAGTGCTCGGAGCCGAGCGACACGCACGCGTTCATGTGACATTTAGTTTGCTCGTCTCCCGGACGCACTTCTTTATTTTGATATTCCCTTTTTTCAGCTGCCCTCTTCTCTGGATGCAGTTTTGTTTCAGTACAGGCGGTCCAGAAGTTGACCAGCACCCACTCCACGACTCACTGAAGGTCCACTCATGATATTGTCTTCCACGAGGCAGTGTGGAAATGGAGGGGAGGCGGCAGCTGAGAAAGTTGTTTTTGCATTTTTGTAATAGTTCCTGCAGTCATGGGCCACGTGCCAACAATCCGACCCATGAACACAAACGCTGATACAATGAGATTAATCTTTAATTTGGGATTAGCGCAACATTAATAAAGCTGCCAGCAGCAGATGTTTATGTCCTTCAGAAACTCGGCAGTGGTCAGCAACATTTTCTGCATTATAAATAATAAAGCACTAGTTGGTTGAGTCATATTGCTTGAAGCACATTTTTCAGTGTTTGTTGCTGTTAACGCTGGTGCTGCTGCAGTTCTCCTCCCCGCCCATAGGTGTCAACGAAGAGCAGCCAATACAGCTATGAAAAGCTGTGACTGTACACACTAACTTTTGTCGTTTTGCACTGAATGTGTGCATGTTGAAACAAACCTGCTGCCGATTTTGAATCATTAAACACGTTTAATTGTATTCAGGAACCGATGCGTCTGGATTTAATCCCAAATACGCATCAGCGCACCACTGTTCTACCGACACGGTCTGCGAATCGATAGGTTAATCTTCACATCCCTGCTCTGAACCTAAACTGTCTGTGCACATAAAGCCCCTCCAGTGGGGATTGGGGGGGGGGGCATTCTATCATTGGAATAGAGCAGCCGCATCACCGCGTGTCATAATTGTGTCTTTGTGGTTGTTTTTGCACGGACTGCGGGGTTACGGCAGGATGTGATGACGCTCCGTTTCGTGTGGGAGGTGGTGCTGATGGTGGTGGATGCGATCTGTCACGGCTGATTGGCAGCTCGAGCAGGTTGGATCGGTGTGTGTGTGCGGTGGGATGCAGTGAGCCTGTGGGCTATTTATAAGCTGCAGCAGTGACGTGCCGCTGCCGAACGCACAAGCAGTCTGACAGATCGATGCGAGCAGGAAATAAGAGCCCGTTTTGTGGAATAAAACACCCCAAAACCTTATTTTTATGGCTGGTTATAATGCAGCACATCACTCAGCGATAATATACCTCTATTCCTGCTGGAGTTTATTACCTATGCCTTATAAAATGGCTTTATATTACAGTTTGGCAACACTATGTTCCATGTAGACTCCACTTCACCCCTTTATAAGTCTAAAATGTGTTCGCACTCAGTACAAAAATAGATGCGGTTGTACAATCCTTTGCAGGCGAGCATTAGTCAAACCAACAGGAGAGGAAAATAATCCTCAAGGTGTCTAGAACGTACTTCCATTAGGCAAAATGTGACCATAAAACAACGTCAAGCCGCGCCGCGTGGATCCAGGTGGGTCCAGAATGTCAATGCGGTAGAAGCGTGCAGCTCTCAGACCTGCTGCTGCTGCTGCTGCTGGTGTGGAAGGGAAAGGGTAAAGTGCGACAGGATCAAACTGTGCACCGGATCAGACTGAAACTCCTTCATGGTGTGTAGTCTGATAGGATTATCAATTCTACAACCGCCACAGTAACATGTTAATATTTACACATGGTTATTAGAGCAGGCGTGTGTGTGCGTGTGTGTGAGACACTCGCCCCTGCCGGCTGGTTTTTGTAGTACTCTATCCTCGTGACTGGCGTTACAGAACTGGCCTGCTGCAGTCATGTGAGTTTGTAGTGGAGGGAGGTGTTACTGTGACATAAAGGAAGGATGGGCAGTCCCTCCTTCTCCCCCCCCCCCCCCACTTCCAACATGTGACTTTTTCCTCTGCTCTTCCTTTCACACGTCTTTAGTTCACTCGCAGCCAACAAGCTCACTGCAGGTTTTATTTCTTGTCAGTTTCTCACATGTCTTGACCTACTTGGACACAGAACCGCCTGCGTTTTGTATTTTTATCCTGAACGAATGTCTGATTTTTGTTAATTTTCCGCAATATATATATAAAAAAAAAATTGAACAAATCTTTGTTTGTTTTTTCCTCAACCGCTGCCTATATTGTTGCTGTTCAGTAGGTTAGTGTCTCACCCCGATCAGGAATTGCCTGCGGGTGGAAGTAATAGTTTCCCGGAGGGATTGTAACGTCGGCGTTTGAAACATTTTTTATTGTGTAATATTCTTCACCGTGTCCTCAACAAGTTCGTGCAAAGGCTTGCTGCGATGCAGATGCTGCATTGTGCTTAAAAAAGATGTTTTTGACATCATTAGTGTTTTTTTTTTTTTTTTACACAAATCCCGTTCGCTGAAGTTAAGAAACAGTGATTTCACAATTATAGTCAAGATGTTTGGATAAGTCCTAAAAGATCGTTATCATGCCGTTTTGAAATTATTTGTGCAACAGCTCGTCTGCTCTTTCTGTTTGTGCTTTACAAATGTAGGTCAAAGTTCAAAGGTCTTTGCGGATCAGATATGTAATTGAGCTGAAAGTAAAACATTTTTTGGTGCTGCAAACTTTATACGGCTGAGATTTTACCAAGTTTCCCGTGCGAGTTGTGAAGAAAGACGCGTCTGCAGAGTCGTACCTGGAGTTCTTTTACAGTTGTGTCTCGGAAAAGGTTGATTGAAAAAGAAAAATGCACAAAGTTTCTAATTTCACATTCAAATTCCCTTATAGGCAATTGTTTTACAGTGTTTTTAGAAGTAAAATGCCGTTTCTGAATAGGTTTTGATGAATCAAAACATTTTACCAACACGACGGAAAAGTCACGACTTTACAAATATGGTCTAAACCATATGTGTCAAACTGAAGGCCCGGGGGCCAAATGTGGCCCTTGTAGACCTCTTATCTGGCCCTTAAGATGATATGTGAAACGTAAAATACTTTTATCCTTTGAATTTTTTCAGTAATCTTTGATTATGATGTTGAAAGCACAACAGAGAACATCAAATGAGACCAATCAAACTCTTGTTGAGGAACCTGTGACCAATACAATATGTTGGATATCCGATTTGAGTTAATGTAGATTCTGAAATTGGCCCTTAGTTTGACACAGGTTTTAATTTTGGCACCCTTTTGTAAGTGAGCTTGACACCCCTGGTCTAAACCGTCTGAAATCAAAGAATAATTACAACAGTTAAAATAATTCTTGAAGAACATTATCACTTTTTCTGAACGGTGACAATATTGGATTTTTGGCCGATATCCGATATGCCAATATGCTGATATGATAAAACTTATTTGGCCGATAACCAATACTGATTTTTTTCCCCTATACCCACTTACAGAGACTACACAGCTTTCTCTGCTGTGGAATTAAAATACTACATTATTCTGCATAGTCTTTGTCAATTTGACCTGCTACCAAATGCAGATGCCAAAAAGGGGCTGAAAATGATGTAATTCTTCAACTTGGATTATGTTTAATGTTAAATTTATTCCTGACATTTACTCTCTCTAGGCAGCACAGTGGCACAAATGGTAGAGCTACTTCCTCTCAGCGAGCAGGTTACCCTGATTCAAATACTGGTCAGGGGGCCTTTCTGGGTGGAGTTTGCATGTTATCTTTGTGCATGTTTTCTCCGTGTACTCCGGTTTCCTCCCACAGCCCAAAAACATGCATGTTAGACTGATCGGTAACTCTAAATTGTCTCTAGGTGTGAGTGACCGAGTGAATGGTTGTTTGTCTCATTTGTCTCTATGTGTCCCTGTGATGGACTGGAGACCTGTCCAGGGTGTACCCCGCCTCTCGCACAGTGATGGCTGGACATCCCCGCGACCCCAAAAGGAAGAAGTGGATAAAAGATAATGGATGGATGGATTTACTCTCTCTAACACAATGACAACACTTGGGAAAAGTGCAAATTTGTAAATTTTCACAAATCTAAACTCAACAGAGCACGTGGTGTCATAACGTTGTACTGGCGCTTCAAGCATCCTTGTCACTGGGTTGTCATACAAAAACAGCACCTCATATATATATATATATATTCATATATTTATATATATAAAATATATATGTATATATATAAAGCACCTTTCATATTGGTGAGTTATTTTGATAGAATGGCCGATGTCCAATATTTAACTTTTTCGCTAATATCGGCTGATACCTATACCATGCTGATAAAATTGTGCTTCCTTAGTTGGTGTTATGCTTTTGTTAAATATGGTTATTAGCAAAGTTTATTTATAAACTTGTTGGGGTCACAAGCCTTGGTCACTAATAATTTCCTTTCTTGCGTTTTGACATTTAAGTTTTAGATTCTCATCTGAGGAACTTTCTTGGTTCAAACTGAACAGCTTTAAACTCGAGGACGCTAGAAGACATCAACGTTTAGATTTTGGACAGAGAAGATTGATCAATTGAAAGTGGTGTGGAATAACAAGAAAGATTAACATTCCAACAATTTTCAGTCAGGTCATCTGGACAGTTTCTTTTTG